CCGCACCTTGACGTGATGTGATGGCTTGTGCACCTCTATGACCCAACGAACTACACAGGATGGCTTTTACCGAGCCAAAGATCTAACCATGCCTGGAAGGTCAATGAGTAGAGGTCAGTCAGGTGGCTGTCCAATGAAGTGCGAAGATTTCTCCCACCGGCAGGAAGAATCTCCAGGTACCCCAATTCTACGCCCATCTAGCGGGTTTTTGACTGGTAAACTGTCCCTCTCGGTGTTTATTTGCCGGAGTGACCTCTCCAGGAGCGAGTGGATATTCAAAGGAAGCCAAGTGCCCAAGCAGCTGGCCTTGTGAGTTTGATCTTCGTCTGGCCTCCACCCATCGACCTTTCAGGCATGATTGGATCTGCGGCTGACTGGAGCCATCCTGCATAGCTTGCAGGGTCATGGAGGCACGCAAGCCATCGCACCACGTCAAAGTGCAGTCTCGTCGTGACCACGACTGTAGTTTCAGTGCGTCCCTTGCCCCCGATCCCGGGCTTATCTCCACACGTGGCTCTAACAAATATCTGTTATAAAGTTTCCACAACTTCTCTCTTAAACATGCTCTTTATTCTCCCCAATTAATTCTCGACTCACTTGACCTTCATTCCATAACTTTCCTCTACCGGGTTTATCCACTATCATCCCAATGCCTCCGTGTGATCGAGAGTGAGCGTTTCGACTTGCGCCTGGTCACCCTGCAGTGGTTTAGTCGCTGTCACCGGCGTGCTTTGGATCTTGTGGTCTGAGGTACGAGTCCTCTGTTGTCGTCCGGTTCAATACCACGCCTAACCTATCGGGCCCTACGTGGTTCGCCACTCCAAGTCTAATGGCTTAGGTTGCCGGTTTCCACCACTGAAACACCAGGTCCTTGTGACTATGGGGTTTGCCCCGTCTACTGTTTATCAAACTCAGGCGTGTAATAAAAAACCTCGCAAAATGCTCCTACACAATCGAGCGTCTCAAACATCTGCTGAGAAAACCCTACCCACCATCTTCTCGTGATGGAGGTGCTTTCCCACTAAATTGAGAAAACGAAAAGCCAACACCCGGGGTATAACCGGCTAAGTGAACGACCAGTAGTTCTAGAGGAGTCGACTAAAACCCCAACTCCGTACCAACCAGGAAGCATTCGAACGACCGCCACCCAAGCCCTCCTAGTTGTGGTAGTGGACACCGACTCCATAAAGCACCAAAGCGTACTGAGTGCCTTTGACTCTGTCCGAACTAGACAGCTGCCCTCAATGGATCGCGGTTTTCTTACACCACCCGGCTGCTTGCAGGTCAGGCCTTGACTAATGAAGGTTTTCGGTTCTGAATCCAACAAAGAAGCCCATCTGCTTTGGTTCAGGTAATGTAGCAGTGTATCGTAGAACCTCGTCCTTTTTATACTGATTGTTGCACCGTGATTTGGTTGGTGCCGCCTGGACTCACAGGTATATGAAGTAGTTATACTCTGTTGGTACCCCTTTATTTCTACTCGCCTTTTACGCCGCGCGTAGTCAGTTTCTTATACCTCGACAGGGTCTTCTTAACATCCACGCACCTTCTCCCTGCACACAAAGCCAAAATCCATCCATCACTGATCAGCAGTCGCGTTCCCATCGTCGGGTAGTTGTTCCATTGTTTTTTCTGAACCATTACTATTTTGGTTCCCGTTATTCTAAAATCGCTTCAGCTATTCCCCCTCCTTAGTGTTTTTCTAGTCCATCCCGTTCTCGGGAGAGTAGCTGCTCTGGTGGGGTTTGTTCCTAGCTATTTGATTACTTACATTACGAAAGAAATCTGTTGATATTTTTGTTACACACTTAAATGGTGAACAGCAAACGGGTTGGATCCCATAGTCACGAAGACCTGTTGTTAAAGAGGGAAACCGGCAATCTAGCCCCGAAACGTGCAGTGGTGTACTAAATAAGGCCCGCAAGGTCGTATTGTCAAGTCAAATCAAGTCAAGTCAGTAGTAGCTTTATGCACCCGGATGGGTGTGTTTTCAGCAAATACACCATATTTGTGGATTCAAATTTACAAAATCGTACATAGTGAACACAATGAAAGCAGTAGATATTGTTTCTCAATAAAGCAAGCAATTGCGCAATTCTGTGGAAATTGTGTTTTTGTCTATAAGTAGACGTGCTAGATATGGCAGAACAGAATTGCGATAAGCACAGGTACGTGCAAATAAAAGTTTAAATCTGTAGTGTGTGGATGATGTAGATACAGCTCTTGAAAATTCATTGTGTGGTGGTGAGTGTCTGAGAGTATTTTGGCGGCGAAATTTTCACATGCTTGTAGGTGTCTGTCAATGATGGAATCGGCCAGTTTATCCCTGACAATGCCACTACATTTAGAGATGTGTTTTAAAGATCTCGCCAGTAAATAAGTCTTTCTTCAACATACCGGGAAAAATTACTGGAGAGCAATACAACCAGTGGGGTAGCACGCATGCATTCACAAATCTAACAATCAGCTTTGAGTACTACTGGTGATAGTTCGTCAGGGCCCGATGCTTTATTCAACTTGGTTTTTAGTAGCTGTTTCAGGACTGTGGCGGGTTCGATACTTGGTGTTGGCATAGAGCTGACTAAGTCTGGCAGGGCAGTGCACCGTGTAACCGGACTAAACTCAGAATTTAGTCTTTCAACATCGACAGTTTCCCTTATGTGTTTACGGTTACTGCCACACAATCGGCTGATAGACCTCCACATACCACGACAACTGGAGTTTCCCAGGATAGTGTCGATGTACAGTTTGTTCAACCGATTTATTTCAGCTTTGATCAAAATTGTTAGCCGCTTGACATGGATTTTTTTTCGATTGATAGCAAGTTTGCCTGTTAGTGGTTCTAGTTTCTGTTCGCACGAGCTGACAAATTTTATTTGACATCGATACATTTAAATTCGCCGACAATTTTCGACATCTAAACATAGAATGAACATCTTTGTTAACTTAGACCCGAGTCAGTGGACGTACCAACAAACAACCTTCCGCACAGGACAGCCACGTTTCTATTGACAAATTCACATGACAGTTCATTGAACCCCATCCCGTAATTGCCACCGGGGACAAAACGACTGAGCACCAAAAGGCAATTCCATCTTGTATAACCGCTGTATAAGGCTACCGTCTGACCACATCTCGAGCAGTGTTCAAGCATGGGTACCACACCTACAGAAGGACCTGGATTGCTTAGAAAGAGTGCAAAGGTTAGTCACCCAAATGGTATCTGATCATAGACACAAGGAGTACAACAGACTCAAAGACCTGAACTTCTTTTCCCTCCCACGCAGACGCATGAGGGGTGATTTGACTGAAACACTCAAAATAATGGACGGTCTGACGGGGTATCCAAGATGAGGAACCATTCTCCGCGATCCCGGGTAGTGGCACCAGAGGGCATAGCATCAGACAGATCACAGTAGGCTGCAACTCCGAGTCAGGCTCTTCACCAAGAGGGTAATCCCATTATGGAATAGGCCACCAAAACACGTGGTCAGACGTAGCACTGTAGTGGGCTCCGAAAGCCCCCGTATGATTGGGAGTGAGTGTCTAGGGTTGCGGCTGGTCATCCCTCCCTCGCACCTCGCGAGATGTTCCCATACGACCTAGCGTCTCAAACAGCCCCTGCTGATGAAGCCCTACTTACTACCTTTTCGTGGTGGACGTGTTTTGAAACCAAAGTAAGAGGACAAATAGCCGTCACCCGAGGGTATTACCGGGTTGGTGAGCCACTGGTAGTTCATCTAGGGGAGTTGGCCGCTGATTCCAAATCAACCACGAAGAGGCGTACGAACCACACCCACCTTTTCGGTTGCGGCTTTTTCACCGGCTCAATTGAGCATCGAGGCGTATTGTGCACCTCGGGCGTTTGACCCCGTCCAATGAAGTGAAGACTGGCTCCCAATGGATTGCGGTTTTGACACCGCCCTCTGCATTGCGGGTCAGGCTTTGATTAGCCGAAGGCTTCTGCTGTGGATTCCTCAAGAAAATTCACCTGCCTCGGCCTGGGCAACCTGGCAGTATTTAACCCACAAGCCAATCACGGAAAGTTTTACTTTTTCTTTTTCATGAAGATTACTGTGCCATGATTGTCCTGGTATGAAATAAAATAATAATGACGACTGACAGAACTGGACACACCAATGAAAACGAAACGTCACTATACGCAGCGTTGGATGCCACAACCACCTGCGCGCTCGGTTGACTTGATGCCACATCTATTCCTGCACATAGTGAACTGCACTGAACCATCTGCGTGGAAGATGATCCTTGTCGTGCATTCGCTGGCTCGCGTACTGACTTCAGGACTCTTCGTAATTCCGGATGATCGAAGCCAAATTCTACATGGTCCTAACAACAGCTTGATTCCATTCCACATCAAACTTTCTATCAGGTGTTTTTGACGAAACGTAGCGACCTGGAATGAACCTCAAAGTGCATTCTCGAGAAGCGGATCAGTGACGATTCATACCGCGGTTAAAATTACACATCTGTCGCACGGTTGAAACTGAACGATCAACTCATGAAGACACCGAAGTAAAATCATATAACTAAACCACGAATAGCCCTGTACAACCAGCAATAATAGCTCAAGGTATTCGAGATTAAGTTTTTTTATTGCACACCTTATTGTGTTAAACAGCGGATGGGGCGAACCGCATAGTCACGACGACCTGCTGTTCAGTGATGGTAACCGGCAAACTAAGCCCCGCGACTTGGAGCGGCGAACCACATAAGGCCCTGATAGGTTAGGCGCGGTATTGAACCGGACGACAGCCGAGTTGCCTACTACCAAAGTTGGGTGGCGGGGCTCGAACCTCGGACCACAGCGTTCAAGCACTCCGGTGACAGCGACTAAACCACAGCGCCTTCATCACCCTTACCTGAAAATCTATCACTACGGCATACAGGAGTGATGTATTAAAACTACACTACTGACTAGTGAAAAGCAAACGACATCAAAAGTAAACTGTTATCAGGATTCCAGTTTTATTCCAACGATTTTAGAAAGCAGTTATGGGCCTTCGGGTTGTAAACCGTGGGTGGTGGAGAGAACGTGTAACACGATGAGGCAGTGGGAAGCGCAAATTGTTGTCGTGGAACTGGGTGGTGTAAGCCCTTTTGCATTTAGAAGCAGGGATGGCCTTGACCTCGATAATTTGGATTGATTCGGCTCGCGCACGATGCCGCGCGCCCATCTCCCGATACATTTGTGTGACCGCTGCCTCTTCAGTAAGATCACGATACTCCTTGTACATATTGTGGGTTCCAGATCGGCTGTTATACCGCAACCATATTGCGTAATTCTTCACCATCAACGGCTTTCGTGGGTGAATCTACAAAAGGAATAAGGGCGATGAAAAACATGTATGCAGGGGAGGCGCTGAGCTTTAGTATCTGGCCTCGAGGTGTGGCATAATTAGTTCATAAGGCTGGGACACAGTAAACACTTGTATCAAGGATCCTTACATCATTAGCGATCACCAGTGGAATCCAAAGGACCGTAACTTTAAAACACTGTAAAAGTAAAACCAAAACCTGATGGCAGTGGCAAAATATTTAAAATTTATCCAACTCCTAAGCAATAAAAAGAATTTTATCACAATATTAATTTGGAACCGTAAAAATGGCCGCTGATAGTGTAAAAAGATTGGTTTTCACACACCGCTCCGCTGACTTGGCGGGTCAGGCTTTAGCTAGCCGAAGGCTCCGATTGTATTTCTCAAGAAATTCACTTGCCTCTGACTGGGCAACCTGGAAGTATCCAGCCCACTTGCAAATCAGTAAAACTTCATTCTTTATAGAAGTTATTGTACCATTGGTTCGGCAAAATCTGGCGTCGGACGTGTGAAACATATAATGCGGGTAGTTAATCATCAACAACTCCTTGTTGTGTACATTCACATCCCTTGGAGAAGTACTCCACATAACCATGGTTTTACGATGTACTGATGCAAACTTAACGATAAAGCAATGGAATTGGAGAAATATATATCTCATCGAGTGATGGATGGTAACTGCTTAAAATGTTTCAACAGCTTTCAGGACTTACTCGATCACACGCAATGATTTCGCCACTACCCTTCTTCATTTTCTTCAGTTGACGAATGAAGTACCAAAATCGGGACTTTGCAACAACCGAGTTTGGAGCGAATATGCGCATGCGATATGGAACCGTCTTAGGCTCCTTCGCCGTCGGGATCTTTCGACCCACCACCGAGTATAAACGAAGCTAAAAGATTCATGACAAACAACAAAAAACCTACATTGCCAGAGGCCTTCATCCTCACGTTGACACTGAGCCCGCCGAATGCGAAGGCGATTCAAACAAATTCCATCTGTCGGGAAAAGTGAAGTTAGCCCAGTCAGAATGCTGCCGAACTTAAAAAAGGTTACGGTGAGATACTCGTCCAGTTTTCTGCAGTTAGCTAGCGTGTCAGCCCAGACTGCGAGCATTATATGATTAGGTTGCGCGTTGTTTGAATTTCAGGTCAAGTCAGTTCAGGTGAGGTTGCACAGGAGTAGTAGTGGCCACGGGTCAATGAACCGTCCATAATTCCTTCGTTGGTGCGCTCACGAGTGTGCGCCCACCCCTGCGATTGATCGGTTTCTCTTTCTGTCTGCAAACAGCGAGAAAGAGAGACTTTACTTCTCGCACTGTCGGCGAAAGACTTTTACTGTGAAAGCGTTCCATATTACCCAAAAACCATTTTTGCACCTAACATTTTACGTCATGGAAGACCTCCAACCATCTGGCATTCAAGGCTCTTTCTAAGGCTTGGACGTTTGGTTGCATAATCAGTTCCGTCGGTAGCTTATTCCGATTTTCCACTACCCTATTGCCAAAGAACTGTGCTTGCAAGTTCAGTCTAGAACGCTGTTTCATAAGTTTGAGCTCATGTTCACTCGTTCCATAGAGGGGAGCCC